CGGCACATCTCCTGGAGCTTCGTTCCAGCTCTCGCGCACGGCGTGGACGTTGCCGATGCCCATGAACTCCTGCTGGCAGCCCTTGTACACGTTCATGCAGTCCTCCGACCCGCCCCGCTTGAACGAATTCGCCACCGCGTTTACGATCGGCCTGTGCGTGTCGTGTCGTGTCGTGTCGTGTCGTGTCGTGTCGTTGGTCGTGTCGTGTCGTGTCGTTTGTGCGTGTTAGCGAGGAATGCAGTCCGACAGTGAGGGGTTGGTGAGTTGGCTGCCAGGTACCGGGCGTCGACAAAGAGGAGTTCGTTGTGGTCGTTGAGCATGCGCAGCATCTGGGCGAGCTTCTCGTCCTCGGTGCACCGACGCGATTGCGTGGGCATCAGCGACGAGTTGCCGCTCGCACTGTTAAAATTGTTCACCAGCAAATTACCCACCTGCACACGCCGCACACACCGCACACACGCACCACACACGCGTGTCAGATAGTGGCGTGAGGTGCACGTGGTGGAGGGTGAAGATGATGATGATGACGTCACCATAGGCTGGCTGCAGCGGGAGATGGTGGCGCCGTTGGTCTTGTGTCGCCAGACGACGGCGGGCACGCGGCCCTTGGCCCGGAACGAGGCGATGGCGCGGAGCTCGTCGTCGGACACGGCCGCCGGGATGACGAACATGGCCGGGTAGGTGGCGCACAGGCCGTAGTCCCAGTTGAGCTTGTCGACCAGGCGGAAGTGGTGCGACGGGATGAGGCCCATGCGCTGGTACTCCCGCAGCGGCGAGTACACCTTCCACCCGTTGAACGATTCGCCACCGGTTTTCGCTAAGGTGGTCGGATGACGTCAGTCAGGATGGTGGAATGTAGAAAGGTGTGTGGAATGTGTGAATGTTTGGAATGTGGGGGGGGTGTACGAGAAGGGCGGGCGAAGGTGGGCTTGTAGAGGAAGGCGAAGGTGTCCAGGATGGTCTTGGGGTGGGCGAGGGCCGTGATGGCCGTGATGATGGGGTGCGTGCGCTCGATCCCCAGCGCCGTGAGGAACGTCTGCTTCCCCTTGAGTCCGAACAATATGTTGCGCATGTCCTAGGACGCCATTTACATTCAGATATTGTACATATTGCATAGGCACCAGTAGCACCATCAACGATGTTGTCGTGTCGTATATGCCCCAAGGTACCTTGCAGAAGATCTGGAGGTATTGGAGGTCGCCCTGCTCGGGCATCTTGGCCGCCTTGGCGATCACCCCGAACGGAATGTACGAGTCCGACTGCGTCACCAGGTCCTCCTGCACCATCATCAATCCCCCAATCAACCAAAGGCTGAATGAGTCATCGACAACAATAGCGAAGGACCAAGAGAAGAACGAAGAAGAACGAAGAACGAAAAAGAGGTGCGGTACATAGGAGGACTTGTCGTAGGAGAGGAAGATGATCTGGTAGTTGGTGAGGTAGAGGCGCCCCACGGTCTTTCCCTTGGGCGGCAGGTAGTGCACCACGTTGTCGGCCCGCTGCAGGATCTTCTCCCCCTCCTAGTGGTGTGACGTCAGCAACGCATGTTTCATCACCCGACTCACCGATCGTGCATTGGGGGGGGGGGTGAAGGTACGAGAAGAGTCGGCTCGAGGGGCATGGAGAACTCGGCCAGCGCGAGCGACAAATCGGCATGGCTCGCACGCTTGCGTAGCTCCAGCCGATCCTGTGTTAAGAAGGCGTATATCTGTGTTAGTGTCGACATACGTACCATGAAGTGTCTATGTTCCAAATTATAATTTTTAAATAGTATAGAGAGAGAAGAGGGACGTACCGCCCATGCGATGTCCAGGGAGTCCAGCTGCTGTTGGCCATCGGGCAGCCACATGCCCTTGCCCGTGTGGCCCCGCCAGAAGTAGAGCCCCCACTCTTCCTCCTCCTCTTCTTCTTCATCATCTTCCTGTAGCTCCTCCGCCTCTTCTCCACTTCGTCTTGCTGACGTGGCTGGTGGTGGTCGGCGGCGGCCGACGCCAAAGGCCAGCTTGAGCTGGTCCAGCACCTCGGCCACCGTGGCGCTGCCGCGGAACAGCATCACCTTCTGGACCGTGCTCATCAGTCTCGACGACGTCGTCGATCGCCCGCGCGCAGTCAGGCGGCCACCGCCGAAGGAGTCGAACGAGGCGTGGGCCGACGCGGAGCCGCTGGGGCCGGCCGAGCGCCCTCGGCGGGTGCGGAAGAAGGCGGTAACGGTGTGGGTGAAGCCGTCGACGAGCAGCATGCGCCTCTTCTGCGGCGTCCGCTTGAACTCGATGACGAACTGGGCGTCGCTCAGGTTGTAGCTCTCCAGCGTGCGCCCGTTGGCCTCCTCGAGCCACAGTCCCTCCTCGTAGTCGTCGTCATCATCGCCGCCTCCGCCGCTGGCGGCAACTGTTGATGACGTGGCAGCGCACTGGTGACCTTCGCTTTCGCTCTCCTCGCTCTCTTCCTCGCTCGTTATCATTTCTTTACACGTAACGTGTGTGTGCGGTCATGCGTGTGCGTGTGCGGTCGCGCGTTGAGTGTCGTGCGGGTAATCAGGAGTGCGTGGGCGGATGGCGGGCACGTACCTTCGTCGTCGCTGGCGATGCTGGTGCCCAGGAGGGAGCCGTGCTGCGCGCACGGGTGGTTGCGCGGCTGCAGCGGCACGAACAGCGAGTAGCCGCTCACCACCGTCGCCCTGCCGGTCAAGTCCTCCGCGGCCTTGTGCTCGCCATTGCCAGAACCGTCGCTGGCGGCGGCGGCGGCGGCTGACGATGACGTTGGCGCAGAGGAAGAAGAAGAGGCGAAGAGAAAGGTGTCGGCGATGGTCTGCTTGATGGCGGTAATGGTGGCGTTGGGCGGGAAGTGGAAGTGGCCGTAGGTCTTGCGCTGCGGGAACAGCACCACAAAGTGCTGCTGCGGCTGCGGCTGCGGCGGCTGTTCACCACCGGCACGAGGCGGTCGTGCCGACATCTCGGAATCCGATGCAGTCTTGGCCAGAAGCAGGGGCGGCTTGCCGACCAGGGCGGTCTTGCTGCTCGTGACCTTGGCCTTGGCCTTGATGACGTCACCTCCAGCTCCACCTGGTTGTCGCTGTTGTTGTTGCGATGATCGTGTCGACAATGGCTGCCTAAACTCTGATGAGGCTGCTCGCGGCGGCGGCGACGGCGAGCGCGAGTCGGGCAATGGGGAAGCCGACGGTGGAGACGCGGAAGTGGGGAGGACGTAGACCGATTGGCTGCGGCCCATGGCCCTCGCCACGCCGCTGCCGCCGTCGCCGCTGCTCCACAGAGCTGTCGACATTTTCTTGTCGACGCCACCGCGGCTGCCCATACTCATCGACAACGTCCGGCGCTCCGCCGCCGCCGAGGTCTGGAGCAGCTGCGGCCTCCGCTTAAGCACCAGTATGTGCTGCCACGTCATCACCACCAATCAACCGTGAGCCTTACTAAACGTGTCGACAGCTCTGGAGAGCAATGTTGGTTTGGTCCAAGGTGGGTACCTTGTCCTTGAGTCGATAGGAGGCGAGGCGGCGCCAGGGCATGGCCTCCTCCGCTCCGCTGACCTTCTTGCGGCCGCCTCCGCGCCGCTGGTCGTCGACAATAACCACGTTCATCGCCTTCTTAAGCGTCGTCACATAAAGGGCGTAGTCACCGTCGTGTGCGTCGACAGATCTGCTGGCACCTCCGCTGCGATGGCGGCGGTGGTGGCGGCTGAGGGAGGCCTCGATGATGAAGTGGAGCACCTCGCCGACGTGGACGTCGGACGAGAAGACGAGCGTCTTGTAGAGCCGCCGGGCGTGGATGAGCACCCGGCACCGCTGGAAGCCCACGCGCACGCCCAGCACCGACGGCACCACCGACGCGGACTCGAATCCGACCGAGAGCACGGTCTGCGCAGGAAATGCTGAAGTCAGCACGTGCGTCGTGTAGTGTGTTGTATGCGTGTCGTGTCGTGGGACGCACCCGATCGGTAAATGAGATGGAGGAGAGAGGTTGAGTTAGGTCGAGCGCTATTGAGCGTTCTTTTTCCCGACTGTCGAGCAGCAGGGACGCCCAGCAGCGCGGCGGCTTCTCCAGAAACACGTCCCCTGGTCGCACGAACCCACAAACCAGAAACGAGTTAGGCACCCGAGACCTGGTTCACCGCACACGCACACACGCACACTACTGCCGCACGCACACACACACACACCACCGCACGCACGCACTTTCACTCCGGGCGCTGCTCTGCGGGCTGGGGAAGCAGATGGTCGCGATGGCCTCCTCGATGGTGGGCTGCCGACCAGAACAGTGTTAGATCGACATACTACACAATATATTGATATAATTTAGATTATTATTAAATAAACATATAATACTAAAGAAATAAATATAATATAATATATTGCTGTGGAGTGGATGTGTACCGAGCCGGCGGCAGAGGCCGATGATCGCTGGAGGAGGCTCTTGATCTCGTGAACGGGAATCTCGCACCTGTACTCCACCACGACCGGCCCGCGGCGGTCCCGCCGCTTCTTTTCTTGTTCGCCGCCTCCGCTCGCGCTTCGTCGTCGCTCGACCCTCCGTACGAACTCGAGCACGTCCTGTCACCACCGCCCGAGCCATCAGCACTCCAGCCATCATCGTCACCATCACCATCACCACCAGGAAGACCAGCGAATGCACGTTGTCATGGATGGCGTAGGCCGAGACCAGCCGGTCGTAGTCCACCCACGCTGAACCCTCTTCGAGCGCCCGATCCGTGTCATCGTCGTCGTTCGTCTCGCCATCGTCGTCATCGTCATCGTCATCGTCTTCGTTATCGTCTTCTCCATCATCATCAACGCTGCGACGGCGACGGCCGCGATGATGGCTCGGGCCGGCGGTGTGGAGGAGGCGCGAGGTGGTGGCCGGCACGCGCTTGCGGAGCAGGAGGCGGTGGGCGGCGAGGAAGGCCTCGAGCTCGTCGTCCGAGTGGAAGAGGTGGTTCTGCCGCACGAACCGCCGCATGGCCTCGCCCATCGTCCACCGCCCATCGGCCAGGAATGTCGACATCACCCCTTGGCCGCCGCCGCCGCTGCCGCCTCGCCCGGCCCTCGATGGAGACGACGACAGGAGGAGCAATGACGACGACGATGAAGGTGAAGGTGACGATGAGGGTGACGTGGCAATGAATGAAGATGATGATGAAGAGGCGGCGGATGCTGAGGAGGAGGAAAAGGGGAAAGAGGACGAAGAAAGCGAAAGCGACGAGGGAAGCGAAGAGGAAGGCGAGGCGCCGGAGAGGAAGGGGAACGACTCGGATGACTCCGGCGACGACGACGGCGACGATGACGAGCTGGTGGTCGTGCCCGCCGAAATGTTGGTTGGTGGCGCCGGGGCGGTGATGGGTTCCGAGCAGGAGGGTGCAGGGGTGGGTACAGGTGGTGTGGTGATAGAGGTGACGGGTGCAGGCGCGGCACTCGTGGTCTGAGGCCGGGGCAACTGGGACACGACGGGAGCGGCGAGCACGGCGGCGCTCAGCCAGACGTGCAGCTCGCACGAGGCCGCAGCAGTGGACCCACCCACCTCCATTCTGCTTCACTGGGTGGGTTATTGTGGTTAATACACGAAATATTAAAATAAAAGAAAATAATTATAAAACTTTAAAATAATAGAAAGAAGGAATACCTTTGGGGTAGTGGCACCCGGGTGAAAAGCTGCAGTGCCGAGTTGCAGTGGAGCTGCAGTGTTGGGTGGGCTAAGTTGTGAGTTGTGGCACTTGGGGTTGGAACATTCCAAATTGCACTTTCGGGCGCTGCTATTTCTCTCTTCTTTTCATTTGGCAGACCAGAGGAAAAAAACATTTCCTTCCTGGCAAGTGATTTTTGCGATATCACACACATACAGAATGGAGGGCGACCAAGAGCTGTTGGAGAAGTCCATCCCCGCTGCCGCCTTCATCGTACAACACACCACACAGCCACCTATCGCAAAGCAAAACATCTAATTCTCAATTTTATTAATTTATTACGTTTGCAGGAAGATGTGGAGGCCTTCATGAAGAATGAGGAGAGTGCCGAGGCTGCGCTCAAGCGAACGCAGGCCAACTACAGGTTCGCTTCAATCTTCGTTTTCTGTCTTGATGCACAAATTAATCGCCATCAATTCACTCGCCTCAAGCAATTACAAAATGCTGGAGATGAAGCTGCAGCAGAACAAGATGACTCTCAAGACCAAGCTCCCCGATATTGAGAAGGCCCTCGAGATGGTCAAGTACCTCGCCTCCAAGAAGGTACATGCCACCGCACCTGCGCCGTTCACACCCACGAAGACCCCCTACTCACCACTACTTGGTTGCGGCACCGCAGGACTCGGAGGTGTCGACCCACTTCGAGGTCAACGAGGGCCTGTTCGCCCGCTCCACCCTCACCGATGTCAACACCGCCTGCCTCTGGCTCGGCGTACGCCTTTCTGCTGCCTTTCGCTCGTGTGTGTGTGTGTGTGTGGTGTGTGTGTGGTGTGTGTGGTGCGCGTGCGCGTGGATGTGTGCGTATGCGTGTTCGTGGAGGCGTGTGCGTGTGTGGTGCGTGGAGTCACGGACACGAGACACACACAACACAGGCCAACGTGATGGTGGAGTACACATTCGAGGAGGCCATCGCGCTGCTGACGAAGAACGTGGACAACTGCCGAGCGAACCTGCGCACCATCGAGAAGGACCTGGACTTCATCAAGGACCAGATCACGACCACCGAGGTCAACATCGCCCGCATCTTCAACTTTGACGTCAAGCAACGGAGGGCTGCCCGTGGCATGTAGCGAGTTGTCTGCAACAATACATGTTGCTTCCGCCCACTCACATGAGACTATTTTAAATAATGTGCCAATCGCAGTATCGCCAACAGCAGCTCACACATCAATCATTCCATGTCCACTCCCACTATATCGCGCACCACCTCCCCAGCAGAAGACCATGACCACGGTGACCGCCTTTTCTATGACCGTGCTTGTGCTGCTGGCCTGCGCCAGCGTCGGCTTGGGGCGCCTCCCCTCCACCGCATATCCGTGGTGCTCCGACCCGCGGGCGGTTCGGGTGCCGGTGTCTGTCGGCAATGGGGACCCTTCGACGCAGTCTCGGCCAACGCGACGTCCAACGCCCAGGTGTGCACCCGGTTGGATCCCTATGGCGACGGCTGGCAGGCCTGTTCGCCTTCGACCCTCGCCAAGGATCTGGCGTCGTCAAGGTGAGCTAATGAGACAACATTTTGACACACGCGTCAACACACACACACACATGTTGACACACCCCCATCCGACCTTTGCTCTTTGCTGATGTCACACTCGAGGCGGCTGCTACCCAGCTTGCTCCTTCCTTGATGTTGTAGTGTTTCATTCATCCATGATATGGCAAGGCTGTTCTTCAGCACTGCAAGAGCAGCAATTGTCGACACCAATGCTTACGTCAGAGCCTGGTTTTCCCGCCTTTGCGGCTTTGGCGGGAACAAGCTAATCCATTTCTCTTTCCGAAGTAGGACGAAGCGCAACGGCAATGGCAGGCAGAGAGGCAGAGTTGCGCCGCGAGTTTGCAGCAATCAAGCAAGATCTTAACGACGGCGCTCTCGTTAATAGGGCTCTCCAACTCTTATTGTCGCTGTAGATTCAAATCATGCCATCATCAAATCAGCAAAGTACACTGGTGCTTTCAATGTTGTGTTGAGTCAAGTGTTCCACTCATACAGCAACTGCTTGAGTCCATAGAGACTGGTCACTCCTCATCAATGAACCCTTGCTGTTTATCTCATTGGTGATCTGTTATAGTCGCCCCTCAGTGTTACAACGTCACTGTCACTGTTGTCTATGAGCAGGCATGTCACCAATGGAGAACTGATTAATGTCATGCTCACTCAAGTACTCTATGTGCTCATGCTGGCACACAACCTTGTGTCCACAGCTGTCACCAACTCCAGATGTGTTGCTGTTATCCATTCATTGGGCACAATCCCACCAGTCAGGTCTGCTGCACAGTGTAGATAGTGCCATAGCCCTTTATGTGTAGAACTGATTTGTCACCACTCAGTAGCCACATAGTGTAGCCAGATTCAGTGACTCATCCTGTGCCTGAGTATAGGATCCATTTGTCTGCTCTACCACTATGCCTGGTGCTGTTCAAGAACTACAAGTAAGTTGGTGGTGCTCGTAGGTTCTTTATTATTTGAAGGGCACGTCGAGCTTGTTGAATTCGGCCAGAACGACGCCCGCGACGTGCCTGACATTGGAAAGCGCGCACATGTGCGTGGCCTGCACGATTGACGACGAAGACGCGGACGAGAGCGTCGGCGAGCCCGTGGCGCCCGCTGACGCTGCAGCTTGACCGCCGGTCGTGGCGCCCGCTGGCGATGACGTCGCCGATGACGATGATGACGTGGACAACGCTGACGTGGCACCGGCGGCCGCCCCGACGTCGTGGTAGGCGCACTTGGCGGGCAGCGCGGACACGGCCGAGAGCGAGAGTGCGGCGTCGGTGGCGAAGAGCGAGCAGAGGGAGGACGACGGCACCGGGCTGGACGCGATCTCGTGCAGGTGCTCCAGCACCTCCTCCACGTTCCGCACGATGCAGAACAGCGGCGGTTGGCCTGCCGTCCACACGTGCGTGCGTGAGCGTGTGTCATGTCGCGTTGCGTGCGGGTGTGTGTCTCGTGTGTGTCGCGTTGCGTGCGGGCGCGCGTGTATGCGACAGAATACCAGTCAAGGACGAGCTACGTACCGGCTTTTTGGGAGAGCCAGGAGAAGCAGCCGTTCTTGGTGGATGCGCCCTTGGCATAGATCGACACGAACGGGGTGCTGGCCGTCAAAAATTGGCTGATGAAGTTCGTCATCTCGTTGTACAACTGCCTGTAAAGTGACGTCAGCATCCTACATCGCTAACAACAATGACTAATAAACAACAATCAAAAAAAAACCTACAAACTGCAAACTACAACAAACTAAAAACAACAACGACGACGACAACAGCAACGACAACAGATGGAGAGTGGGTGGATGGAGAGAGGTGGAGGGACCGGTAGTTCTTTTCGGCGAGGTGGAAGCCGTGGTGGGGTATGCCGTGCACGGAGTTGGTGTTGCAGTAGGTGTCGGCCAGGTAGCAGCGCGGAATCTGCCCCGGGTCGACGAACCGGTGGAACGACGCCTTCTCGCCCGCGGCTATACTCATTATGTCACAACACGACACGACACGACACGACCAACGACACGACACACGCGACAGTGAGCGCAGGCGCGGTGCCGGTGGACGATTGGAGGGAGGAGAGGGCACCAATGGAGAAGGCCAGGATGGCGATTTCGACTGGAATAGGCTGCTCGATGCCCGAGGACCCGTAGGCCAGGTTGAAGTCGACAAAGAAGAACGTGTGCTCTCGAATATCTGCGTGTGTCGTGTCGTGTGTCGTGTGTGTTGCGCGCGTTGCGTACGTCAGTGCACGCGTGTCATCAAGACTCGGGGAATGTGGAATGTACCAATGCTCTTAAGGTCGGGCGCAAACTCCTTGTCCGTGGTGTTAGCCGGTGGCCGTGGCGTGGTCGCTTTTCGAAAAAGAGCGAAGCCCCCCAAGAGTGAAGGTGAGTCCGCATGCGAGCGTTATAAAGAACGAAGCGGTCGCGGACGACGAACCTGAGGGGGCGCTGCCGAAGCCGCCGGGCTGGAGGCCGCCGATCGACGGTGGACCGCCCACGGGCGGCCCGAAGGGTCCGCCTTGTGGTGGGGCCATGCCCGTACCACCCATCCTGGGTCCCGGCCCGCCCATCGGTGGCGGCCCGCCCATTCCGATCGATGACAACGTGTTCATGATTTGATGTGCCTATGTAACGCGGGTCGTGCGTGTCGTGCGTGTCGTGCGTGTGTCGTGCGGCGCGTTAGTGTCAGACGAGGCAAATGCACAGTGTTTGTGATGGGGCATACGAGGATCTCCTGGTTCATTGGTCCGCCGGGTCCCATCTGCTGTTGCGGTGGTGCGGACGTGGGGAAGTTGGGATTGTAGTCGCCGCTGTCCCGCCGCCTCGTGTCGCCGCCGCCGCCTCGGTCCCACTCCTGATCCCACTTGCTCTGCTCGCGCCTACGCTTGACCACCTTCGGGTTCTCGAACCACGAGAGGTCCCTGGGCTCGGCCATCCTGATACCACCCACAGGGATCGTGAGGGAGAATGGCCCCGGTCGTGTGTGCGTGTCGTGTGCGTGCGTGTGTCGTGTCGTGCGTGTCGTGTCGTGCGCGGGCAGTGGTGTGGTGCAGTACCTGCACGTGATGGGCCGGCCCAGAACGAGTGCTCCGCTACGCTGCCGACAGGCGGCCAAGGCCTGGTCCTCCCTCTCGAACTCGAGCCCAGCGAACCCTGCGATGAAATGGGCGTCAGATTTCGGTGTAGCGCAGATGGAAGAGCCGCGATTGACTCAAGATTGGTGGGAAGAATTAAGACGTGGTTGCATGGTAGTAGCAGCACCTTTGGGCATGCTGTTGCGGTAGACGATGCGAACCCTCCTGGGATTAAATTCGGCAAAGAGGTCGCGCAACATCTGATTGGTGGCCTCATGTGCCAGGTTCTCCACCATCATCATGGGCGGATGCTTCTCCATGGCGTTGTGGTGCTCTCAAATCTTTATCCTACAAGTTTTGTCGTTTGTGATATGTATTTTCCTCTTTAAAGTAAAATGGAAAAACAAATGATTTCGCCATAAATCCACACAATCAAGGTGGAGGTCGCGATTGTTAACGAAGGGCAGATGGCCGAAGGGAAGGGAGCAACGCGGTGGGCTCTGTGGGCAGCATGCGTGAGCGTGGCTGGAGTGTTGCTCTCGCTCTACATGGTGGCCGACAAGTACCGCTCTTCGGGTAGATCTTCGTGCGATCTGTCCGAGCGCATCTCGTGCTCGGTCATCAACAACAGTGAGTTCGCCTCGCTCTTTGGCGTGCCCGTCGCTGTGCTTGGCATCGTGTGGTTCCTCGTCATCGGCTTCCTCTCCTACCGATTACACAATCATCCGAATGGCAGCGCATCCACTCTGTCCAGCGCAAGCGGCACCATCTACACCAACAAGGGCATGAGCGAGGCTGCTGCACTGGCGATGGCGATGCTGGCCTGGTGTGTGGCGGGAGCAGGCTTCATCGTCTACTTGCTCGTGGCCGAGATCATCCTGGGCGCCATCTGCCCCATGTGCACCGCCGTCCACGTCCTGGTGGCCTTCCTCTTCTACGCATCTCTGCGGCTCTACGCGCGGCACGCCATCCCTCCTCATTCGCGAGACGCATCTTCGCCACTGTCCACATTCTTCGCATCCGCCACGTCCCTGCCCACCCTCACGTCGGCTGCACGCGCGCTCCAGCCCCTCTTGCCTGCGCTCGCGGCCCTCGCCGCGTTGCCCCTCGTCATCTTCATCCTCGCCACCATCTCTTTGCCCGCGCTCGATCCCTCCCACGCCGCCCTCCGCACCTGCGTCCTCACCAACCGCCAGCAGCTCGTCTTCTACGGCACCGTACGACTCCCACCCCACGCACCGTGTCGTGTGTCGTGCGTCGTGTGCGGCCGACTCAAGTGTGCGTGCGTTCGGTCTGCAGGACACGTGTGCGGCGTGCAGGCGACAGAAGGAGGTGCTCGGGCCGGATCTGCTGCAGCTGGTGCGCTACGTGGACTGCGTGCGCACGCCGTCGTCGTGTGCGGGCAAGGAGCTGAAGGGCTACCCGACCTGGGCGGTCGAGGACTGGAGCGGCCAGGAGCGCGCCCGCCACTACGGCCTCCGCACCCTGTCCCAACTCCTCAGCCTCGCCGCGTGCGATGTCGCTTCCTCGTGACACGCACACGCACACGCGAAGCGAGTCGAGGCCTTCCCCTTTATGTACATATACGTGAAGATCATAGATGATGGATCGATACGCGGCGCTGGTCATGGCACGCGTGTGCGTGTGCGGTGTGTGCGTGCGTGTGCGGTGTGTAGGCTTATCAGCTCAAAAAATGGCGTCGACGGCCTGCGTGAGTTCGGCCTGCGCGGTCTCGAGCTCGGCCATGAAGGCCTCGTCGTAGCCTGCTCGCTTGAGCACCGAGTAGAACTGCTCCACATACCCCACGATGTTTTCCTGCAGATGACATCATCAACAAGAAGACGACGACACATCATAGTTGATGACAAGACAGAAGATGTCAGTGGACCACGCGCGGTGATGGTGATGGTGGTGGTGGCGAGATGAAAGAGGAAGCAATCAAACCTTGAGCGTGAGTGTGATGTTGTAGCGGTTGGACGGAAAATTGATGCCCTTGTGGTAGAGTCGGAGCGTGCTGGCCACCGGCGGCAGCTTCTCCTTGACGGTGGCCGTCGCCGTCGCCATGAGCGTCTTCACTTTCGCTGCAAATTTCCCGAAGCGTGAACGCACGAACAACAACACGACACGCGACACGCACGACACGCACGACCACAAGACGCGCACGACACGCACGACCACACGACACACGCGAGTCGGAAGGGGCGGCGAACCTGGCTGGGCAAAGGGGAGGGTGGAGAGCGCGGGAGGAGGGGTGGCGTCGCCGGCGGAGGCGGCCGAGCGGCTGGCGGCGGTGACCTGCGCGAGGAACGACAGCACGGGCTCCATGACGGAGCGCACCGTGCTGCTCGTGTAGGACTCGGCGATGCTCACGATCTGCTTGTCGAGGTCCTAGGTAGGGCACCACCGATCGCGTATGACGTCAGCAGCCTGTTATGCGACTGCAGCAGCGCTGACTGTGTACCTTCTTGGAGCTCAGCTCGTTGTGCAGCACCTGCGGAGAGGCCTGCTGCACCACCTCGAACCACGCATTCCTGGAATGCCGAGAAAAAGAAGGTCAGAGTGGCCTGACCAAACACGCACGACACGACACGAGTGTTGGTGAGCACCGTCCGATGGCGAACTGTCCGCTGAGGATGCGGGAGACGGCCTCGCTCAGCCGCGAGAAGTCGAGCGAGTTCTCGGTGATGGCGAAGTTGGCGTCGAACGGCTGAATCTGCTCGCGCAGGATCAGGAGGTGCCGCAGCAGGAACAGCTGCCCGTGCTCACCGCCCTGGACCGTCCAACACACACACACACACACACACACACACACACACACACACACACACACACACACACACACACACACACACGGAACGGCGCTTAGCCTGGTAGAGAATACGACGATGGGTCAGCCGGCCAAGTACCTTGGAGCGAGTGATGGCCCGTGCGGCCGAGCCCAGCGAGGCAATGCACACAGAGACGGCCTGTGGGGGGGGGGGTAATGAGGTGAGCCTGTGAAGCCAAAAGAACGAAGAGAGCCAAGAAGAGCGAAGACGAAGGAACCACGCACCTCGTGGGCGAGGTCTTCAAAGACGGGCGGGTCGACGGAGAGGTAGAGCTTGGCGAGACTGCTCAGCGTGCGCTCGAGTGTTGGGTACCACGTGGCGGTCAGCAATTCGGGCGACGACGACGATGCATCCTCTCCGTCGCTCTCTGCCGCCTGACCAGCGCCCTCTCCAGCCGCTTCGCCCTCGCCCGCATTCTTCTTCTGCTTGCGTACGCCCAACGCACGACGCCCCTAAATGAGCCGACGCCGACAACACTGCGAGCCTGGAGGGAGGGAGGAAGGTACGGGGAGCAGCTTGGCCGGATAGTCCAGGTCGGCAGCCGACGGTACGTAGGCCGATATCTCATCGCGGAAATAGGTCATGGCCAAGAAATAACTAATATATAGAATCATATGAATATAGAAAAATATATGGTGAGTGTGATCTTAAGAAGGCTGCGGATAAAAGATAAAGGAAGACCCAATAGGAAGGACGGTGGTGGTGGGTAGGTACAGTCGCTCGGCGGCGTCCTGGGCGAGGCGAGCGGTGAGGTCGTGTACGGCGCTGGGACCCTCCACTCGGCTGGACGACACGATGCCCGACAGAACGGAATCGCCGGCGGCCTCTGCAGCCAGCGCCTCCCTCAAATTACACAGCGACTCTAGCGAGCGCAGCTGTTGGCCCCAGTTGGCGCAGAGAGAGAGAGAGAGAGAGAGCGATGCGTCAGAGGTGACTTCTTCATCATCATCGCCACCACCGGCGAGGCGGTGTCACGTCATCTCTAACGGTACCTGAATCACGGAAGCTCGCAGGCTCTCGTAGAGCGGACTGCAAAGCTCTTGCAGGTACGCGTGAAGCGCCGGGCACGCGCTTCTGAAGAATCGATAGTAGAGCTGCGCCTCTTGGCCACACACCTGCGTTGTTGGAATCGTTGAGCTCATCATCAATGTTGTTTTTGGTTTTGTTGTATTTGCTTCGTTTATTATTTTTATTATTATAACTATTGTGTTATTATTGTTGCTTTTGTGTGTTTGTGTGTTTGTTGGTCTAGACCACGGTTTATGGCGAGCGTACCTGAGAGAGGTAGGTGCAGCCAGAGCGGACGATGGTCGGGAGGCTGGTGGCGTTCTGGCCGATCGTGATCAGCCGGATGGCCTCGTACACGGTGGGCAGGACCAGCGTGCGCCGCTGGTTCAAATAGCACTCCTCGCAATCACGCAGCAGCCCGGCATACCTACCCCCGCACATACGTTACACCACATCATATCGTGCGTGTCGTGTTGCGTGGCGCGTCGTGTCGTGTCGTTGATCGTGTGCGTGTGCGTGTGCGTGTGCGTGTGCGTGTGCGTGTGCGTGTGCGTGTGCGTGTGCGTGTGCGTGTGCGTGTGCGTGTGCGTGTGCGTGTGCGTGTGCGTGTGCGTGTGCGTGTGCAATACGCACTCGGCTACTGCGGCACGGGCCTCGATCTCGTGGCACAGCGGGCGAAGGCGGGTGGCGAGGGCGGAGAACTTGATGTGGAGCAGCTGGCTGTAGTCTTCGACGGCGGCCGAGGCCTTGCCCGGCGTGCCGGCCGTGGCCTGCGCGGTGGCCGTCGCCGTCTGCTTGAGGCTGGCCACGATGTGGTTGCGCGCCAGCGCGAGGGTGCGGCCCAGGAGCTGCCGCAACTTGGCCAGGTGCGAGTCGGACTCGCGAAAGGTCGGGTGCTCGCGCACAAAGGCCACCGCGGCGTCGAGTCGCTGCAGCAGCGCGGTGAAGGACTCGTCCGTGGGCACGAATCCGGGCGACGACAGTCGGGCCGTGGCGCGCTCGACCTCGTGGAAGTGGGCCAGCTTCGACGCGACTGAGTCGGCGAAGCGCTGAAGCTGGCCCTGCTGCGAGACCAGCGCCTCGCAGGCCTCGTGCAGCGCGCCGGTCTTGCTGGCCACGACGCCGTACTCACGCTCCAGCGAGGCGAGGCTCTCCAGCGCGCCCTCGACCTCGCCCTCGATGGCCCCGCACAGGGTCTGGTACTCGCCCATGCGGCTCATGTGGGTGTTGTACCGCTCGGCGCCCTCGACGCGGCCCTCGTCGGCCATGGTCGAGAACCAGTGGTAGAACTCTTGCATGTTCTCTATCTCGCGCTGCTCTTGTTGATCTTCTCCCTGGCGGCCACCGCCATCCTCGCCTTTGCCTGGAATCACATCACTCGAGGCGCTACGCACTGACATGCGCTCACCCGAAATCTGCCGTGTTATGAATGAGCGAAACAATTCGTCACTGAAGCTTTTGGCAAGAGGAAGGAGCAAAACCTCGGATGAAGAGTAGAGCTGGGTGTCTGCTGCAGCGCTGGAGAGCTTGGCGAGACGATCGCGCGCTCGCTCATCGAGCACCGAAAGTTGTTCAAAGTTCTGTACGAGCTGGCTCGTAGACGCTGCTCCTGCAGCCACAGCACTCTTCGCCGCCATCTCTTCTTTTTCCCTCTCTTCGCGCCCGTCGAATCGATCCACAGCAGACCAGATTTCGATTTTAGCTCTTATTTCCTTCTTGCCTTTCTATTTCTCTACGTTTCTCTCAGCACAATATTGTGCTTGTTATTTCAAACATTTCATTCCGTCTTTTTTCGCTGGTCCGCAGCAATTCGCGTAACCAGTCAAACGAAATTCCAAATGGTATCCACATGGAGACCGGAGTGACGACTAATGGGCCAGTCGCGAAGCCACGGGGTGGAAATGTCGACAGCGAAAAACTGACGCGTGGTTGGTTGGCAGGCACTGGCGAGGCAGGCGTATTTTTCCCTGTTCCAGCGCCGGCCAAAAGCACCAGCAGTCACTACCTCGAACAGAGCCACCGATCCCTCATCCTTATCCACACACAACATGTCGAGCGAGCGCGAGGAGAATGTCTACATGGCCAAGCTGTCTGAGCAGGCCGAGAGGTACGACGAGATGGTCGAGGCCATGAAGAAGGTCGCCACCACCGACGTTGAGCTCACCGTCGAGGAGAGGAACCTGCTCTCCGTGGCCTACAAGAACGTCATCGGTGCCCGCCGCGCTTCGTGGAGGATTATCTCCTCCATCGAGCAGAAGGAGGAGACCAAGGGCAACGAGGAGCACGTCAAGATGATCAA